CATTATTCCCAATGAATTTCTCAAACTTATACTTGGTAATATTGGTAAAAAAGTTTTTTATGATCCCATCTCATATTTTCAAACCGCTACTTTTATAGTAATTTGTTATAATGAAGAACCCAAACTAACTCTTTGGAGTACAACAAACAAAGCAATTGGACTAACCTAGTAGAAATAAAAAATAAACACCAAACTTGAAAAATATCATACAGAAACAATCAAACAGCCACAAAAACAAGAGCACCAAGATTTACATGATTAGATCAAGAATGGCCCACGAGGCGATGAGAAATAAGTAATTTACATTATCAAAAACAGGAATAAATATAAAATTAAGTAACAAATTAGATCAAATTCTCTACTAAGAAATAAAAGTTAAAAAGAAAAGTTTAGCCAGAAAGGACAAAGATTTTGTCAATTTGGAGCAATTTTCTCACAATTCAATCAACGGATAAACAAAAATTCCTCTCTCCTTAACTCTCCAAAGAATAAGCAACCAAGATTCCTTCTGCCCGGTAACAAGAAGTCATGAAAAACAACTTCCTAATATGAACCCAAACAAAATAAAAAAAACTTCTATTGTTTCACTTTCACTGGTTTGTTATGCTCATTCATGTCAAAATGCTACAACTTTAACTTCCCAACAATTTGCTCAACTTAACTTGGGGGAGATAGAAATAAGATTATAACTTTTGGAGTAAATTTTACAATAAATCCCTATAGATTAATTGGATTCAACTCCACAAGATTAAATCTGAACCCGAACCTCCACAAGAATTTGAGCTTATCTCTAGTTTTGAAACTAAATATATCATGAATACTTAGTTAACTATTAACAATCTGATAATATAAAACTAGAGAAGTGATGATTAATATTTTTTCTAACACAATAAACCAAATATTGAATGAATTGAGTTTGATTACTAGCCATCAAAAAAGCTAGCCAACAGTTTCCACTTTTACTAAAGGGATTAAATCCCGAAATGGTCTCACAACTATTTGTATCAATAATTAATGTCAAAATATTGATTTTTTTTAAAAAATTTCATCCGTTGACCATACAAAATTGGTTCAAAATTGTGTCTTATGAACTACATTGGGATCAATTTTGTATAGTAAGGGGACTGAATTGAGATAAATATAGAATCACACTTTCTACATAATAGATTATTGGAAATCAATTTTGTATAATCAACAAACTAAATAGGAGAAATGTGTCATTCTAAAATTAAATTGGCCACAAAAGAATAGTCGATGGACAATTTTGGGATCTCAACTTTATATTAAAAGCTAAGAAGACTTATACACCGATGTTAGATAATTTCTTTTGTGAAAGTTTGAGTTTAAATCTTTATTTAGCTAAATCTAATAGATTAAAAAACTTGTAACGTTAAATTTTAAATCCAACGACTTGTGCTTCTTCAAAAAGATTGAGCATTTAAAGTCACATGCATTGCATCAATCAATTCATTGTTATCAACTTTATGATCCTTTCCGAAGTTACAATCTAGAAGAAGAAGCCCAACCTCTTAGTTCTAGCACACCACTTGTAGTTCAATTCAAAAATTGCATAATCAAGTTGATCATGAAATATTTCAATAACATGTTGAATCAAACTCCAATTAAAAACATGGGGTTTTTAGGGATCCATTACCTCACCACTGCTATGTTGCTTCCATAAAATCAATTTTCTCATATCCACCATATAAAGTCAATGTATCTTATTTGAATCAAACATGTCTAAGATGCTTATCAATGAATATAGAAAATATGTGGAATCTTATTACTGTATACAAGTTCTCCCTCATCTTTCCCTCTTTTTGGTGTTCTACATAGTCTAGCCCATAGAAAGGTCGTAGGAATTTCTACATCACATACAGACATCATATTATATTGCATTACTCATTCTTCATATGCATGCTATGAATGAAAACATTCATCTATGCAAATGTTAGTAGAAGGTACATGGAACACAAATAAAGTGATACAATAAAATCAATCATAACCCAAAAAATACAAAGTCAATAAACTCTTAAGAACTCGGCTGCATCATTAAAGCTATAAAATTCATTGGGAAAATGCATCCAACTTAAAAAATCACCGACAATTCTAACTCTAATTAAAATTTAAACATCCAAGGCTAACTTTATAGCATGTACAATTAACAAATATGCTCAACTTTTTCTCTTTCTTCACCTCCTTTTGTAACATCCAAACTATCATTTACCAATTATACAAACATATAAGTAGGGTTGTAAATGAGCCGAGCTTGAGCGATTCAGGCTTGGCTCGTGTTCGGCTCGTTCGAAATAGCTCGTGTTCAAAATTGGCTCGTGAACAGTGTGTTCGTATTCGGCTCGATTTAAATATTTGTGTTCGTGTTCGGCTCGAAATTGGCTTATTCTTCATCTATTACGAAGTGATTATTACTCAAATCAAGTGTGATGCCTAGAAATCTTCCAAGGCAATCTCCATATTCAAGCATAAAGCTTGCTTAACTGGTATATCTGGTTTTCTTTCATCTTAGTCTTCTCTTTTCTTTAAGAATTGCAAGATTGCCCAATTGACTTGAAACTGACCAGATTTTATTCTAAATCTATTACATCTTTAGTTTCTTTTAGGTGCATAAACTTTTAATTAATTGTATTTTTTCTATCATATCGACTATTTAATGCTAAATTATATTCCGATATAGAAAATCTTTCAATAAAATTTAAGCTTCATCTATTTTCCTACTATTCGTTGCTATTTGTAGCGTTGAAAGTTTACTTCCTAATGAAAATTACATCACACAAATTACAATAGTATTAAAAATATGTTAGAACACTTAATCCCAGAATGATTTGCATCACCAGCCAGTTTCTTGTTTCCAGAAGGAAATGAAGCATAGAAAAAATAATTTACGTGAAAATATATGAATAGTCACCATCTAAATCTCTAAGGCAAAAAACCTCCCAATGCTAAATGAGAAAAGTATCAGAATCAAAACAGAAATATCAAAAAAAAGTTAATTAATTAATTAATTCAATTCAATTCTGTACAGAACAAGTTGAAGGAAAATTGGGGGAACTTAGAAAGCTTGCATCATACAGAAGGAAGAGAAAATTGCTATAATAAACAACAAGAACCAGAATGCAATCATCAATGCTCCTAGTGATTTTTGCAGAATTTCTAATATACACGCGAGCAAGAAGACAAGCCCTAGCAATGAATGGAAGACTAAAATACTAATGTTACAATATCTTTAGAGATTGGATGTTGCAATATTAAAAAAGTAAATTAATTTAGGTTCTCATTCATTGTATGGGACCCCATTTTAATTTTAATATAAATGGTGATAATTCATAATCAAATTTAAAATAAGAAAAACTAATAAATTATTATATGTTGAAATGATCTGAGTTGTGTTATCTTTAAAAACTATTTCATTACAAACAAATGATGATGGTAATTGAAAATAAGCAAAACAATCCGTACATCACTATTGTAATCAGTCTTCTAACAAACAAATGATAATGGTAACGCACAAGTAAATTACTAAAGAATATATAAGCCAATTCCATAAGAAAATTGATCTTATAAATCAATTGTTTAAAATTTAGCCTATAATCATTATCATATAATAATTTATCAATTTATTCTACTAAATTATATTATGCATTATCAGAATTTGTACCTTAACATATATTTTTATATATTGGATTATGCCAAAATGTAAAAGGAATATTGCCATTTAATTTTTTTCAAAATTTTAAATAAAAAATATTAAAAAAAAAAAAGAAGAGAGACTTATTTTGAAATGGAATTCAGTTTTTATGATGAGTTCAAAAAATGTTAAGAGTTCCCCCTTATTATAGCTTACTCGATATCATGTACTATATGCATCATATAGATTATAAAAATAAATAAATTATATTGATTGATAGATATGATTTATCATTTTTAAATAGAAAATACTTATTACCATTAAATAATTAATTAATTAAAAATTTGTGAAAGCTCCAATTAAAATAAAACTCTAGGTGGTTATAGTTCTTAAAAGTTTTAAACAATTAGTAAATCTGTGAAGTTTGAGGGGAAAAAAATATTTTAAGAATAGAATTCTATTGTTGCTTTAAAGTTTAGAAGGAAACAATCTCTCATTGTGACTTAATAATATGGCCGTAGATTTTGAATTTTAAAAAATTTATTGTTTGCATATGCATATAAGTATTACATAGTAAGTACTTAGAATAAAGTGGAAAAGCCAACGACTAATAAGCACTACAATGATGCAAACAAACAGAACGATCACCAATACTCATAATGCATCATTCAAAAATTTCTTAAATATTAAGCTAAATGCTCTAGAACAACTCCAGGCTCCATGCAAACCAAGAATTCTTTCAGATTAATTCAAAAAATTTAAAAAAAAAAAAACACCAATCAAACATGATACAAGGTTTGTTGATTAGAATAGCTAAACATCAAAAAATGGCCTGCTTACCTTCAAGCTTGAGGTTTCTCTTGAAGGGAGGGAGTTCGTGAGTTGAAGCTCAGACCATATTAGATATAGATTACAGTTGGAGCGTGTAAATTAAAATGACTTATTAACTGAGGACAAAAATTTGGGATAAATGCTTTGGAAAAAAATGGTATGTTATTTATCCACTAGCAAACTCCAACTGTCCTTTTTATCAGCAAGAAACTTGTCCTTGCTTTCCTCTCATGCTGGGTTAATTTAATAATGCATTTACTATGGCTTTTGTATCTCAATGATCGTTAATGCAGGTTGCCAATAACCCTTAAATGGCAAATTAATTATGCGCCTTTACATGCCTCCAAACTCGTATCCAGACATTGTATAAAAATCAAACTTGTAATGTAAAAACACAACATTAAATTTCATTATGAAAAAACCAGTAATTTAAACAATCACTAGAAGTATTCAAAGAAAGCAAAAATCCAAGCCTTTAAGTGCTATAAAAACAGTTTGGGAAAAAAAAGGGACAACTACTTACCTGCCAGAATGCTTCTGATTAACTTCTTCACCACCGACTCTTGTGGATCCAAGTCCACCACCCAACCTTCTAGGCCGCCAATTTGGAACAGTTCTACCACGCTCAACGTCAACTAAAACTCGTCGATTGTCAAGCTTCCTACCATCAGCTTGCTTGTATGCAGCTGCAAAATATCAATTAAAAGAAAATAAATTATAAAATTTATCTAATCAGAGAGAGAATTGAGATGAGAATATAACACACTTTTCATATCACGTGTATGAATATACTCGATGAAGGCATATCCTCTAGGTTTATTCGTCTCCTTGTCCATAATCATACGAACCTAAGAGAAACAAAACAGAAGACATCAACAAAACATCTGCATCAAAAATATGGAGCCAGACAGTACATGTGCTACGTTTTGACTCTAGGGTTTGCACATCTGCAAAGTTTGTTTGGAATACTAAAAACCTAAATGGCACGACAGACAGGCAGCAAGCCTTGCTAGCCGTGCTCACCTTTAAAGGTGTACTGCTGCTCCACGTGAGATGCACCACCACCTTATCAATTGGGTTGGCAGATATATCCATGTACATGACCATTTTTGCCGGATGTGATATATATATACCCCCCCTTACCAGGGTAGTTTAAAATAACAAATAGTACAGTTTTAGAAAGATACCATGAATTCTTCAGAATCAGGAAACTCATTTTGACTTCTCTAATCAAAAAATAAAATGTTAAGTTGCAGGAGAAAAAAATGCATAGAGCTAAAATAGAGTAGGAAACCTGCTAATACCCCCTGTGATATACCTATCCAGGATGGGACATCTGAAATCAAGACGAGGGTGATGCTTTTGGCTTACAACTTGAAGATGAAGATAAAACAAATATCCGTTCAGTTTGAACTTTGTTTGTGAAGATTGCCTCAAAATTTTGGCAGAATTACCATCCAAAAAATTTACAATGACGGCTCCCAAAATGATAGTTGCGTATAACGATTTTGGAGTTCTATTTCTTACCCCCACAATTTTCTTCCACAAATTCCATATGAACCAAAACCCAAATAAATGGCAAAAGCGACACTAAATAATTTAATTTTCTAAACTAAATTCACTTCTCATGCTCATGATCATGGTGCTATTACGTGTAAAAAAATAAAAATTACCGTACACTAATTCGATGTTCCCACAAATTACAACATAATGTAACCTTCTACTGAAATCTGGCACAAAAAAAGCCCCATAGAATTGGAATAGAATAAACACCGAGACAATTTCAATAGGCACAGAAGAAAAATATTGTGCTATGACGAAAACAAGTTTGTGCATTTGCATTAAAATTTACCTGTTCGCTTACCTAGAAACATACAGGATGCTTAATAAACACCAATTTAGATGAAAAATCAATGATTAAATTAGCTCAACATGATTCCTTAGTCTTCTCCTAGAGAATAAATTTAAATATTCATCTTTAACAACCACCATAAGAAAACTCAACAAAGAAGAAAGTTCACAACCACCCCCCAGAAGTTTCAATGGCAATCACATATCTCTATATCAAATTTCACCATGGAAATCAATTAACCAAATATACAAAATTTAAATAATCTGGATTTGAAGTATAATCACAATGGAGACGCCTCTGCAAGGATAGCAATATATTTCCAGGGTGAAAGAAGACCATAATTTCACCACAAGCCAGTAAATATTTCTGGATTCAAGTATGCAAAATGAACATGATTAATTTCTTACCACGGGTGGAATGAACAAATTTATGGTATATGAACAAATTGCCAAAAGTGGATATGAAATATTGCCATAGGATAGATATTGTTCAAAAAAAATACCTCTCACCAAAAGTTTAGTGTGGCTAAAAGGAACTTAAAGTATTACTTGCCAAGAGAAGAATGAAGTTTGAACAACTCAAAAAGATACACAAGCTCAGAGGTTGTGCAAAACCAAAAGATTTACAAAAGCAAACATCTTACAAGTACAGAAAATGTTCGGCAGTATGTATTAACAGGTGAATGCAAACACAAAACACCATAACATGAGGGCATACGTTTCAGCCACAAGGCATGTAAGAATGTGCACCAACACATGCATTGGTGGAGGAAATTGAGGGTAAAGTACTATCAATACATAAGATTATGCCCAACATTAGGCTTCCCGAAAATTATAGTTGCCATTTAAACATAGGTAACAACGGAAGCAAAAAGATCACAAAATGAGTTTTTTAAAATGTATAGTCAAACAAAACTGGAACTCCAATCATAGCCAAAATAGTACCGCTTTTTACCAAGAACAAATAAATGTTAAACTGTAACCTTACCCATGTCAAGAGTAATGACTGCTCCCAACATAAATTTTCTAGGATACTTACCCGTTTAATTGGACCATAAGCTTCAAACTCCCTTTTGATCCTATGTTCAGTTGTTTCATAACTCTGCAAAGAGATAGAAAATAGTAAATACATAATTTAAGCATAAAAACATGTATGCAAGCACAAACTCCAATCCCTTAACACACAGGAACTGATGCAACTAAAGATCACCCATGGTACGCTCAAAAGAATAATAAAAAGAGGCACTTACAAGCCTGGCCACAAATAATGTTTTGTATGGATCACCAGTTGCATTTGGATCTTTATGCGGATCATCTGCATTAAATATGTAAAATTAAACCCCACCAGATGAAAAGACCAAAAAAAAAGACTTTGCTCTTTTGCAAACCACCAAGTCATTACACTTTTCAAGCTCTTCCGCAGCCTTCTGTACTCCTTTTTCTAAGCGAAGCTTATGAATTCTAGCTCTTCTTTGCGACTGTCCCCAAAAATATAAAGAAATAAAATCAGGGGAGAGCAAAATACTGTCATCTAGATGTAAATGGACTGCATATTCTTTATATGCACCTGCATAGACTACTAAATATGAGATGCAGATTCAAAACAACAGATCAAAAATATAAATCTTATGTTTTAAATATGCAAGATTACGACTTATTTCTTCTCTTGCAATGTCAAAATTAGTGAATCAAAAAATATGTTTCAGTACCAAGTTCGACCTACACCTTTATATCAGAGAAGCTCATTAGGTAATCAAATTATTTAGATGTTCATTCAATTTTTTTTGCTGACACCAACAACAGTAACAACAACAAAGCCTTAATCCAACTACGTGGGTTCAGCAACATGAATCTTTTTTCTCCATTGCGTCCTATTTATTGTCATATTTTCATTTAGTTCTAATAAATTAAGATCAATTTTTTATACAATAAGCCCAAGTCTTCCTAGGTCTACCTCTGCCTTTCTTAACATAAGTCGAATCTAAAACATCTATTCTCCTAATCAGATCATCAGATGGTCGACGTTTAATGCAACCAAATCATCTAAGATGACTCTCTCTACTTTTATCCATCACTGGAGCTACACCAACCCTATCACAGATATATATTCATTTCGCATATTGTCTCTAAGTGTAAAGTCACTCATCCACTTAATCATTCTCATCTCGGCAACACTTAACTTAGTATTATGTCTTTATTTTGTTGAGACTAACTAATCAAGAAACACTTTCACTATCCTTTCATTAACCGTTAAAACTCAACATAATTAAGTTTTTACAGCCCCTTCTCATTTTCATGATAAGTATTCCAGCAATACAAACATTAATCAATATAAATGCAAAAAAATAAAGCTTACATGGATTCATGAGCAGCACATATATAGCAAAATAAAGCATGCAGGCAATATACTCAACAAGTTTGCATGCACGAAGTAATACACAACAACATAAGATACAACAATAACAACAAACATTTATCCCACTAAGTGGGGTCAGCTACATGAATCATTTTTCTCCATTGCGTCTCATTGAGTGTCATATTTCATTTAATTCTAATAAATTAAGATCGTTGTTTATACAATATGCCCAAGTTTTTCCAAGTTTACCTCTGCCTTTCTTAACATAAGTCGAATCTAAAACATCCACTCTTCTAATCGAGTCATCAGATGGTCACCTTTAGTGTAACAAATCATCTAAGACAATTCTCTCTAATTTTTACCGCCACTAGTGCTACACCATCCCTATCACGAATGTATTCATTTCTCATTTTATCTCTAAGTATAAAGCTACTCATCCACCTAATCATTCTCATCTCGGCAACACTTAACTTAATTTTATGCTTATTTTTTAAAGGCCAACATTCAATGCCATAGAGCATTGCAAGTCTCACCAACATCTTATTAAATTTTCCTTTCAATCTAAGCAGTACTTTTCTATCACACAATAGGCTCGCAGCATGCCTCCACATCAACCAACCAACTTGAATTCTACTAATAACATCCCTATCTATATCACATCACTTTGAACAATAGAGCCGAGATATCTAAAGCGTTCACACCTTTTAATAATTTGATCACTCATAGTTATAACTCTGTCACTAGAGCTACTACTACTAAAATTACATTCCATGTATTGAATTTTAGGTCTACTCAAATGAAGGCCTTAGACTCCAATGTAGGCCTCCATAATTCAAGTTTTTCCTGAGGTTTCTCTCTAGTCTTATCCATAAGAAGGATGTCATCAACGAAAAGAATAGACCAAGGTACATTCTCCTGTAAATGTCCAGTAAGAGCATGCATAACTTAAGCAAAAAAATATGAGCTTAAAGCCAATTCCTGGTGTAATACAACTGAAATATAAAAATATTTGGTCAATCCTCCTTTTGTTCAAACAAGAGTAACAGCTCTAGTATACATATCTTTGTAAGCAAAAAAATATGAGCTTAAAGCCAATTCCTGGTGTAATACAACTGAAATATAAAAATATTTGGTCAATCCTCCTTTTGTTCAAACAAGAGTAACAGCTCTAGTATACATATCTTTGATGGCTTGAATATAAATCATATCAACACCTTTCTTCTCAAGAACTCTCCAAAGGACTCTTGAAACCTTATCATTGGTGACGTATCAATAAGTTTTTTCTAAATAATAAAAATCATATGTAGATCCTCCTTATTCTCTGAACTTCTCCATCAAACCCTTAAATAAATGTATAGTTTCCATAGTAGACCTTCTCCATCAAACCCTTAAATAAATGTATAGTTTCCGTAGTAGACCTGCACGGTATAAATCTAAATTGATTATGAGAAATCTTCATAAAGGAAACTCAAAATCAAATAGATAGCAGAACAAATAAAAACTACATAATCAAGTAGATACATGACCATCTAGTATGGTAAATGACCTAGATTTTATTAACAGGCTAAATTATTAACAAGAGTCTGAAAACATACTGGAATTTCAGCTTTTCGAACAGGAGGTGCATATTCTTCATCCCCAGGCTCAGCAAAATGGCTGACATATTGTGCCATTCCTTCAAAGTAAAAGATTAAATATTAGATAATATTTCTGCATAAAGAGCCAAAAAAATAATCAAAAACTTTTATTCTGCCTGAATATGGTGGGCATTTCCTCCTTTCTGGAGGAGGTTTATATTCCAGAGGAGGGCGAGGTTCAAAGAGCTTCAAAAGGTTATTTGTAAGACCAGTAGGATGACTCTGCCCAATCTACATGAGAGCAAATTACCAAGAAAAATATAAGACTAATAGTTTTATGGAGAAAATGGAGTCAAAATATGGAACTTAGTAAAGCCAGCTGGAAGAAAAACAAGCCCAATATATACATGAAATCATAAATAAAAATTCTGTAAAGCAAAGCACATGAAGCACAAAATATTAACACTTCAGGTTCCCAGCAAGCATACAAGATGCATTAATGATTGATACACATTAGAAGAGCTAACAACACTTTAACTGAGCCATGAAAAGTTGGGCAAAGGCAGGAACTAACTTGAAAATTCATTAACAAAAGCAAGCCTTGCGGGTTTATCAAAGAAAAAAATAAGAATGAAAATTATGATTATTGCATCACTGGAAACCAACTTAAACAACCAGAACCTATAGCTTTATTTCGGAAAAACTGTCCAACTACATGCATCACAGAGCAAGAGGAGCTCGTGAACAACAAACACCTACTCAGTAGCACAGCACTGTAAGGTACAATGGTACCCAAAGTAAGCAGACTACCTGATATCTAATCACTGCCAGCACCACTAAAGATTTATTTCAAAGTCCATTGACCCAATGCATTGGTACCTCATCTATACCATGAGAACACAACAAAAGATTTCCAAAGTTGGATGCTCTAACAAGCTAAACATTTAATGCAAAATTTTTTAACATAAGTAGATTTTATAGTCATTAACTCTCTCAGTAATGGCAAAACAATCATTTATGGGATCCAAATCTAGATGAAAAAGGTTGAGAGCCAAAGCTAGATTGGCAGCCAACTACATAATCTACGTCAAAACTCAATCAATGAAGCAAGATCTGTAATTTGTTAGCGATATGGTATCCCCAAAAAAAGGGAAGCTTCACAGCAGCTGGTTATGGTGAGAAAAAAAAAACGAAAGCTCATTAATATATAAACGATAAAGGACATATGAAACAAAACCAGATGGTGATGAAAGTTAGCCATAAAATATCACCCAGCAGTGACAAGAAACAACTTAACCCAACTGCTCTCACAAGTAGGTAAGTGTTGAGTTTAAAAATACAATTAGAAATCTTTAAAAGAATTTGGAGATCTTAAATTTAATTCTAGATAATTAGTAGGCACAATGATCAATGAAAAATAAATATCACATGTTTGCAAAAGGTTAATGGAAAGGGAAAAAAAACCTACAGCATTCAGGAAGCTTATAAGTTATATGTTAGTAAGGTCATAAATAGAAAGAAGGTAGGAATTGAAATAAATATATAATTTAAAATTAAAATTGTTAAAGTAGATAAAATTAGAGAACATGATTTCTATTAAGTTAATCATTGATGAGAACATTATAACCATGGATGGTGATGATGCATATAAAGTTGGACTATAAAGTACTTCAAAAATAATTTCTTGACAAAATAAGCAAACAACTACAATGTACACTTTAAAAAGAGAAAAACTAAAATAGTTGACATAAATAAACATATAGATCCTTGTATGATAGGTTATAATATGATTGATTGCGTGAATAGAATTGGATATACAAATCCAATGATAGAAGTTATAGCTAATTTCGTAATAATGAATGAACTCAAAAAAAAAATTTAAAAGAACAAAAAATCTGTGGCTTTCAAAAGTGGAGCTACCCATATGACACTGCCCTTTTTAACACTTAAAAGAGTAAGAAAAACCTCTTTAAAAAATTATAATGTAACTTCGAGAAGAAATTTGACAACACTAGCATATGAGCAGTATTAATAAATGTCTTAGAAAAAAAAATTCCAAAAATCTTGCTCGGATTAAGATGGTGCAAGTCCAAAAGAGAGGAGTTATGACGATTTTAGGATAGATTGCTAAGAGATACAAATAAAAACTTTACCGTTGTGATAAATTCAAATGGGATACGAGGACCATTTTCATAGATATGGATCAGACATTATGAGACATACTGTGGAGAAAGCATAAAAATTGGTTGAGGCAAAGAAATCTACATTTACATAATGAAAAAAATATTAGCTAATGCTACCAAAATTTAAAATAATTTTGAGGAAGCTAATAGTTCAGGAAAAAAAACAAAGAAAAAAAAAATCATTTATTGATTTAAGCAGTTGGTCAAATACTCACAATGAAGAATATATATATATA